AAAACTTTGTCCAGGAGGAAACTCATAATGAGAGATAGAAGGTAAGCTATGATTACTACATTGATGTATTACTTCATTTGTTCACGCTGCTCATACATTCCTAATGCATGAGCACTACTAAGTGCAAGTTCAATTTCTTTCTCCATCTTTGCACTTTTACTCCCGAAAGTAAGTTAGTTGATTGCAACATACCAATGATACATACCTTCAAGACATGAATCTTTTTATAGCTTTTCTCCAATGCATTGACTGCTGTATCATAGCTAGTTTGAGATCGCTGTAACTGTTCTTGAAGGCCAGCAGTAGACATCTATAATTATCAACTACTCTAGATTTTCTTTCTTTATAAGACTTACCTCTGAGAATTCTTTGTACTCTGCAAAATTTTCCTCAATTTGATTATATTGCCCCTGAGCAAAGTCAATGATAATTAGAAGAATAAACTGGAATAAATAAACCTGAAGTGCATCATAGCCCAATAATGCCTGCTCTAATTGGATGGAAAGCTGGGATATTTCTTGCTGCTGAGTCTTGAATATAGATAAGTTCGACTGACATAATTTTCTGAGCATTGACATACTTGGACTCGATCTTGTTCCTCAGCTAGTCTTGCTTCAAGAGCACTGATTTCATTCTACAACAGTTTAGGCTTGCTCTTTTCAGAAGCATAGAACACACATTGGCTTATAAATGATCAGGGTCGATAATAGTAGACATATATAATCTTACCTCCTTGGAGTTGGCTCTCAAGTGTCTGAATGTATTCTTGTAGCTCAATATCTTGATCTTCCATAGACACAGCTTGGGATAGCATACTGATAATATCTTCAGACATTTCAGTAGTCTTTCTCCAAGCTTCCTATATGCAATATCAGCAGACTATTTAATGTGAAGATTTTTTCAGTTTGCATACCTGCATAAGTGGATTATGAAATGTAGGAATCTTCTCCTCCTCTGTAGAAGTTGAAGTCTGAGAGTAATGAAGCAGTTCATAAGAACTACTATCCTGAGCTGATATATCCTGCTCTAGGTCTTTGGAACTTGAGGTTTCAGTTTGCTCTGATCGCAATAAAAGCTCATCAGAACTGGTATCCTCTTCATTTTGCATAGTAGATTGCAGCAGAATTTCATCATCATCACTTCGTACTGGGCTGTGACCTCTGGATATAGGAGGATGCAATATAAGTCCAGGGATAGACGGAGATGTCTTCAGAAGTATTTCCTCATCAGTAGTTTCACTTGAAGACTCTTGTTGAAATACTGAAATCCGTGTGCTTTCCATATTGAAACGATCTGTGTCCCAAGATTCTGATAGAGGTACTCTAGCCAGCTCATCAGCTAGATTAGACACTACTTGATATTCTGAAGAATCAGTTTCTAGACTTCCATCCTCTAGATCTTGAATTGTACTGAGCGACTCTGATTTCTCGGGCAGGATAATAGGAGTATTTGTTGGTGATTTAGACAGAAGTATAGCATTCTGCTTCAGCTGTTCATTTTCAACCAGCACCTCTTGATAGTTGACTTGTAGCTGAGCAACAGCCTGCTCTAGACTGCTACACTTGCTTTCCACTACTCTGTTCTCCTCAGCCATAGTATTGATTGTGCTTGTCAGTGCATCCTTGTGGTCTGCAAGTTGCGCACTAATTTTCCATGGCAGACATGTACAGTATCCAAGCTGTGGACACTGAGTTCGAATTCTTCGCCCTGAAGCGAAAGGCACAACATGCTCCCAGATCTCGCTCACACAAACGTGTCTGTACTGTCACTCCTGATCATGGGAATATGCCTGCCGATGTGGAATATTACTGTGCACAAGTGGAGGGCGGAATGTTCATGACTAATGGTGCACCCTTTTTCTAGGGATCCAATTTCTATTCAGAGATTTACGTTTCTACCAAATAATTATAAACACCACGATCAATACGTGATGGCCTGCTTGCAGTTAACCCTTGGCTTCCGACGTGATTGATGCAGCATCGTGGTCTTACGTCCACATGTATATGTGTACAGGTCGTGGCGATCCCATTTCTTCGATGACCTGCTCGCGATCGGCAAATCTGGTTATAACTCTGAACTTTCCCCCAGTTAACGTGTATCGCCATGTCTGCTCGCGAAAGTTTAGCCTGTCCATCGACTCCCATCGTGCCTTACTCAGGACGATCCAAACGCACAAAAAGTGTCCCTACCTTCGATGACTAGGATTTGGGGTACCATATCCAGGTACTTATCCCTCTCTCGATTGTACATCGTTTCTTGAGCTGTTTCAGGCCCAAGGCAGCATTTAAAACCATAAGCAATGCAATGCAGGTTTATCAGCGCCAAGTCAAACAGAATGAAGTTGGGCAGCTAGCAAGGATTTTTGATCTGGATAAGAATACAAGATTTGAATCCTTTGCTCATTGGCTTTCAAGTGCTGAACAAGCATTACTGCAAGCTTATTATTGCAGCTCAGTACCAGGACCCAAACTTTAAAATCCAGGACTGGAGGTCTCATTCATTGTTACTGGATTACATTCATCTTGAAGGACTGGAATATGCCCGGACAGGCATCCGTAAAAATGACTGTAATAGTCATGTTTGCTTTGTACATAATCACCAGAAGACAGTGGGCATTATTCAAACAATCCTCCAGTTCTTCATGAAGGATCCTGGAGGCACTGATCTGAAGCTGACATATTTCATTATCCAACAATATAGAACTACTGAGGATTTGGGCTTTCCTGATCCATATCGTCAATATGGTATTGTGGGAGGGGCCCTCGTTATTAAAACACCCAATCTGCAGGTAATCGAGCCACACCACATTCTTCAGCATTGTGCAGCCACTCCTATCATCCACAATACTAAGACTTACTTTCATATACTTCCTCTTTCAAAGGTGTGTCTTAATTGTCACAACTGGTTCATACTAACTGGAAGGCAGATTTATGATAATGCTTGGTTAGAGACTGATGTTATTCATCATGAATAATTTGACGAATTACATAATTTATCTTTCTTATTGACAAACCATGACTATGAATGTCCATCAATCAATTGAAGAGCTTAAAACATTTCTCAAACTACTTGATATTGATATCAAGGATTTGAGAAAGCAAATCATACTGGGAACAGTTTATGAGAAAGTGTTCCGTGTCTTGTATGTTTTTTACTTTGTTGAAATAATCAATGACAATATTATTAGTAAAATCCCTATTAGTCTAAAGACACCACCTGTTAAGTGCCGTGCAGAACCGAAGGGAAGTAGTGGAAAGTCCGAAGCAAAACCGAGTGGCTATCACAACACTATATCGGAGTGAGCGACTACACGTCTTGCAGGCCGAAAGCAAGTCTGAACAAATACGTAAACTCCAACGGATACGTTCGGAGAAGCCGAAGGTGATAAAGGCTTAGGACGAGGAGGGAGTCGGATGAGAGCGGAGAGCGAGGCAAGAAACGTTAATAACGAAACGGAAGTACAGGAGTGTAGAGTATGAGTATTCATACTAAGTGGTAAACCTCGCAGGGAGATCCGATGTGGTCCGCAGGATCTCCCTGCGGGTTAAGTACAAAGGCATAGTAAGTAAGGGGAACAAGAAGACATACATGAGGCAAAGGAAACAAGGTGAACGCCTAACGGATATAAGTAAACAAACCAAAGTCCAAATGGGTAAAGATCCGAGTTGATGGGCGGAGAGTCCGAACAGGTCCGATAGAGTCTGCGTGCAGATTAACTGTTTGAAGGGAAACGCTCAGATACCTTCATCGCGTAAAAACCCTGTTGCGCTCCAAGGAGAACCCTCAGAGCATCCGAAGATGCACGGGATATAACAGTACTCCCCCATTAAGACTCTCACCCCGAGAGTCATAGAACCATCTAGAACAAAACGTGACCAGCCGGTGATGGCCGAAAATTTCGCCATATAAGGAGGCGGAGGAACCGACCATTGCCATCAATTTCCCCCATGTCGTCCGCAGCACCCAACCGTCAGCCGCCCAGCCAAAACAATAAGGGGCCGAGCAAAAAGGCCGCCCCAAAGAAGAAGTCCCGCAAGGGCAAGGAGCCGGCTAGGGAGGAAACGCCCAGCGATTCGGACGGGCCGAACGAGGCCGAACTGCCTCCAGTCGGTGCGTGGCGGATCATCCGAAGGCTCCGTACTAACTCAACTTGACAGAATGCAAGCGATGCAGTCGTTGCCCAACTGCGGACAGGGAGGCCCTTGCGCCCCTGGGCCAGGACCCTCGTGCACCCGCTGCCGTCGCCAGAAGCAGAAGTGGCGACCTTCGCGACGCCACAGGAGGCTCGCCGGAGACTCCTCGAGCAGCGGTTCGCGTCTGGCGGCGGCTCGAGTTCGGAGTTGGCGCGACTGCGCTGAAGGGTGCAGGACTTGGAGGACGGGTTGGGGGTGTACGGCGAGGGCGTCAAGAGCATGACGATGGAGTTGAACGCGACACAGAAGGGGTTGGCAGAAGTCAACCAGGCGTTGGTACATTATCGGACTTCAGCGGACAATCCGAAGTACTAACCGATCTCTAGCGTGATAACGAAGAAGATATCGACAACCTGCTGATGTACGCCCACGGCAACCAAAACACCATCTTGGTGTTGGCGCGAAACCACAGCGACGAAAACGTCGAAAACACCGCATACGAGTTCGTCGACTACGACGTAGCGTACAGAACCGAGATCGCGGGGCGGCTTCGGCAACGCTCGGAGGAGCCCGAGCACCAGTCAACAGAGGCGTACGAGGCGCGGAGGAGCCCACCTGCTGCAGCTCATTTTTTGCGCAACACTTGGGCTATTGCCCAAAAATGTTTTGCACAACACTTCGGGGGTTTGGGGATCAACCCCCGGAGCGCCGGCAGGGGTCAGGAAACACTCGGACCATCATCAGAAGTTGATCTCATTATGGCCCGCATCTAGATCAGTCTCGGGGACACGGCAACAGGGCCGGGGCAAGTCGATCAAGCTATTTCTGAGGCAAATAATGCAAGTAATCATTGTAACATTTATATAATTACATTTCATCATCGTCACTCGCGTTACCATGCTCGTCCTCATCATCTGCGTCAACAAGCCCATCGACAATGTCCCTGTCGTCGTCGTAAGATAGGTAGACCATGTTAACCACTCTTGCGCCCCGCTTTCCTCGTGCCAACTTCGGACTTGTTCGGACAATCTCCGCCCGGGCCGCGAGATTCCGGAACATATCCGCTTGTTTCGTCGCATACGCAATCATGCCCTCCGCGACCTCCCCTCCCAGTCCGCTTATGTCGACCTTCTTCCCGCGAGTAAGCCACGCCTGCTCCTCAGTGCCAAAGGAGAGCGGCAGCCTTTCCCATTCAGCAGCCAATATCCTGACTTCTTCCTTCCAACGACGAGTTCGCGCGTAGGACTTCGCCCATTCGATGCGCAGAGCTGAAATTAGCAATTAGGGCATAAAACGGCATTTGTGCCCCGCCACACACCTTCTTCAACTCCTTCAGTAGAATTGTGGACATTGCTCCAGATCCACGATACCTGACGTCTACTTTCTCCGTGTTTGAACAGAGCATTAGCTTCCCGAGCCGCATGTCGTCGATCTGGATGTGCGGCAGGTCGTTGAGCCTCTGTTTCGTCTTCTTCCGCATCGCTAGTCTCCATAGGTATAGGACCCCTCGGCAGAGCAACAAGCCCAGCTCGCGCTAGAGCCAAGTCTTGGGAGCGTTCATTCCGTTCTGCCCTTTCGCGCTTCCGCTCTGCTCGCGAGACCTCCTCAGCATCCTCCATACATCTGATATCCTTCTTCTCGAGCTTGCGCCACGACATCAAGTCGTCGTCTCCATCAAGAGCTACCAATGCTCGCCAAGCATGCTGGTATTTTTCGGAATATAGCAAGATTTTCCGCTCATTCTGGTCTACCAAGGATCTTGAGCGTGTATTCATCGCTTGCGCGCGCGAGTTGTTCTTCTTGTAAGTCAAAAGTCGTGATTTGACATGCAGTTGAAGTTGCAGGCTCGTCAACGACGAGCGACACTGAGCATCTCGCAAAGCCCGCTCGACAACGACCAGTCCCTCTCGACAGCCACCATTATCGCGTTCGACGGGAGTAAGGGCGAATGGGGGAATGAGGGGCACGCGCTCTGCTAGAGTATCTTGAGGCAGGTGAAGAGCTTCCAAACGCCGGAGAGCAGCAGGCATATATGTCGCTTGGAGAGTCCGCAAGCGCTTGATGGTACGATTTAGTTTTGCGTCTTTGTCGACGAAGGCTAACTCCAGATGAGGAGCGTTTCTTGCCGACCTCGACCAGTCCCCGGATGCGACGCCTTTCAACGACATGAGATATATAAGACCAGTCCAAAAAAAAACGTACTGGTCGCCCTCCGCATCTAACAAGGCAACTATGAATTCCGTGGGGGAGACGTCGTGAATGGGAAGTGCCCCAGACTTCTCTTCTTCGGCTTCTTGTTCTTCAAGCATCTTGCGGACTGCAGCCTCAGTCATACCTAAGTCAAGTCAGTCGATAAGATCGAGATTTCATAACAACGTCAACTTACCGTCGGATTTGTACCCGTAGGGATTAGGCTTTGTGTTGTCGGCCTCAAATTCATCCACTTGCTTTTTCCAATCCAGTACGCGATCAATGTGGCCAATCGATAACTGTTCGAAGTCGAGTTCTTGTTTCACCAGCTCTTTCTTAGCGTTGTCGGTCCTCCGCCGCAACAAGGCCGCTGAGAGTTCGATAGTCAGTATCATATAACAAGGCAGTCACGAGGATGCCTACCAAGATGGAGCAGCTTCGTCCAATTCCAAAATGACCAATGGTCGTCCAGCTGATCCCAACGCGCGCCTGGACCACAAACCCGTGTGCTGCCCGCAATGCCGCCAATCATGCTCCAGGGTCGCTCGATACCCTCGCCATCTGTCATACCCGAGCCGAGGATGAGCATCAACGAAAATAGGATTTGGCACAAGATAAGATGGCCTTTGATGTGCATCTTGGGAATCGCAAAACGAATTAAACCCAAAGCGAGACGAAGACGAACAAGCGGCGGAAGGTTGGCCAGTCGCTCAATGAGTTTTTTGATCCATTGACAAACGATATCGTATGAGAGGATTTTCCATAAACGAGCGTCGATATGCCGCATGAATGAGCTAAAGATATAGTCCATGTTCCCGTATCTGGACTTCGTTAATACATGAATTTGACCAGGTCTATTTGACCTACCGCTCGCCAGCCTGTAAATCTCCGACCCCGTTAGGCAAGACGAACTCATGTCTTGCGCAAACGCCCATGCCGACACCGGTTACACTGTAACCACGGGAGAATTTGCTGTTGGCATGATCTAAGGCGGCAAGACCACTACAGGTACTCATCTACAGTCAAAGTCAGTCAAAGCCAGCAATCTGTAGCTTCACGCGCCTCTTGTTCGTCCATTATAGTCAATAGATGAGCCCGATACGGTTCCCATTCGACCATGTAGGCCCACCCAGTTCCGAGACCCGGATCGCGTAACTTGTTGGAGATTGACCGACGTTTCAGGCGGAAACACGCATCCATGGCGATAAACATGATATATAGACACCTTGATTTCCTCAATACAGCTCTTGAGGTTTGAAGAGATTTACCGATCTTCGGGAGGCGCATTCTGCCATCCGTCCAGTAAGTTAACACCAGGTCGTGGACAGGCGGGACAACGAGTGGCAAGTTCTCCTGGTGCGGTTCCCAAGACACCAAAGCGGTCGTGACCACGGCCCTTTCGTTTGAGCAACAGCAGATGACGGTATTGGCGTGACATTCGCATGAAAACTGAGTATCGATCAGGGGGCTTAATACCGGTTCCATCGGTCGAAGACTCGAGTGCAGAGTAGAAGTCGTATGTCGTCGTTTTCCCATGCAAGGAAAGATAATGAAAGCGGTCCAAGCAGGAGAAGGTAGCAGCGGTTCGCGGAAACTCTGTCGTTGCAGGGTACCAGCCGGCCTTCAACAATTGAACATGGTCGGCATCGTGATCCATACAGCCGCAGAAGTCTACGGCAACTTCATGTATCCCATTGGCTGCCAAGACGACGAAGTCCCTTCGTCCTGCCACTGGGCGCTCGCAGATTTCGTTGGGAGGATGGGCCAGTTGGACTCGTAGGCCAATGGCACGAAGGGTTGTCCTCGTAAAGTACACGCCAGTCCATTTCTGTGCAAATCTAGTCAGTAGAGTCTTCAAAATATAATTCATCACTCACCTCGATAAAGTGCAGGGGGTTAGCGCAATGAGCAGCTACACAATAGGCTTGACATGTTGAAATCTGTACTATTGGCTTCATTCAGTCTCATTCTATCTTGTCCTATCTCTCTCAATCTCGTCTTATCTCTGTGTTACATGGTCTCTGTTAGCTATCTGATACATATCTGATACACATTGTTCCTTTACTGTTACACATCCTTCCTAGATTGATACTAGATACATACTAGATGCATACTAGATACATACTCATACATATATAAGTAGTCTAGTTTCGCTCTGAGGTCTCCAGTTTCTCACTGTTGACCTCAGGCAAGTCTTCCTTGTACATCCAATCTAGAGTTTCTCACTGTTGACCTCAGACCTCTGTGCTTGCCTGTTCAACATGACACCACATGGCTCCACCAAAACAGGATGAACAGCGATATATGGCAGGAAGGGTGCTGTCCCCACAAGCTGCGCATATTTCCCCTCCCTTCCCTCTTCCCTCGCGCCATAGAAGACAATGGAGGAACGGATCCCGAAATTCACGCATCCATCTATCCATTGCGGGGTCCTGAGGCACTTTTAGAGTGGCTAGAGTGAAAAGGAATGGGTCTACATACGGCAGGCAGGCTATGTCGATTGGCGTTGGTCTCCTCGTGCTCATTATCGCCCTCCTCGGCTTCCAAGCCCATTTCATATCTCTCTGGGTCCTCGGTGGGCATGAGATTGACAGTTGCTTGTTGACGGTGCAGATGGTCAAGGCGAGCTCGTTTGACTGGTGAAGTAGGCTCGACAAGAATAGTCTCGGTATTGACGCGTTGATTGTCGCTGGTGACATGATGCAGAGAGGTGCTCAAGGGCGCGTCGGGTGGGGCGCCAATAAGCTCCTCCACTGACATGATGTGGTGCCTAACACGCACAGGAGCCGTTGCGCGACGTTTGCGGGTTGGTTGAGACGATGAGGACATGGCCACGCAAAGGTGATGTGACCAAGAGGTGACAGTAGAGTGACGAGGTGACCAAACAATCAAGCCATCGAATGATGTAAATCATATGATATGATATGATCTTCGGCCGATCGAATATATGAGGCAAAAAATTCTTTCTCAGCAAAAAAATACAGAAGAAGAAATAGCTAAGTATTACTGTTCTTCACGCTACGCCATACCACGCCAGCTCGCTCTATCAAGACATCTCGTATGTACACGGTTTTGCAATGGTCCGAATGGCTCGTATGTACACGGTTTTGGGGAATGGTCCGAATGGAGTCTCGACTGATGATGTAATCAACGTAGCTAGAGAGCGGGAGTCGGCGAGTGGCTGTCACGGAGGGTGGACGGAAAGGGAATCAGTGCGCGACCGTCGGAGAGTTGGGTCGGAGAGACGCATGTGTTAGGCAGGGCGCCAGTGAGTGATGTCATATCTGTCGGTTGCAAAGCCAGGCTACAGAAAAGCCAGCGTTCGAAGGCGGACACAGCGGCGCGCAGCCCACCCCAAATGCACCTTGACCATTGCCATATATTCTGACTGTACCTGAGCCTCCTTCACGGGAATTACAGCTCCTCCGTCGATGTCAATGTCACTCTGGAGAATGACTAGAAGAGCCCAGGATTGCCTTGCTGAGTCCAATTCCCTCTTGGACTGTTGGAGGGAGTCCTTGCGAGACCAGTTGCGAGCCCAGTATACGTATTCCTCCTCCAGTTCCTCCTCCCCCCAGGCTTGGTAGCCATGGATAGCGCTGACCAGCTGCAAGAGATTGTCAAATGGTCGAGGCGGCACATTTATGAAGTCAGAGACATCGTATGGCGGAGTTAATTGGTAGGGGAATAGCCCGGTTATGTTTCCATTCCTTCCCCCGAGAAAACCATTCGTCGTCGTCGGCGGGTAGAGTGAAAGCAGCCTGCCGCACCAGTTCGGTGGGCAAAGGAGGTAGATCTTCAAGAGTTAGCGGTTTTTGCTTCCTTTTGTTCTTTTTCCGACGCTGATAGTCTGCTCGTACAATGGGACCTCTGAACCAGTGGCTAGTCAGCGGATGATACCGAGAGGAGGGACATACCTGGGGCCATTCTCGTATCTTCGGCGAGATTCTCACGCCGCGGCGCGCCGCTCGTCCTCTGTTCGATACTTGAGTGGTTGTGGCATCTGGCGACAGCAGTACAAGATGCGCGGTGATCATACCCGCCGACCTGCACGTCGGCACGCTCCCCCTGCGCGCAACCCGCAGACAAATAAGTACTGTGAGTCCGCGACCACATACCAGTTTTCGCTTGTGGACGGCGCATGGACTGCGGGCTGCGCCCGGCCTCCACGCGCTCGATGATGTGCCGCCCGCGGCGCCGGGCAAGCTCCGGCTGCCCTTACATGTGTCGCATGACCGCGCGGGCAGCACGACCCTCATCGGCGTCAGCCGCCACTCACTAAGCTGTGCGTACGGCCGGTCCAGCGGGGCATTGCACCATTGGCTAGTCGATCGTCCCACGAAAGCCGGTCGGTTCAGAGTGAAAAGATGCAGCTCGATATTGAGACTCACGTTGCGCGGCGGAATGGGGAGGAAAGGCCCCATCGTAGGACGCGCGCAACGCAGGATGATGGCCAAGGCCTCATGAAACGCCATTGAACCATCGTCGCCAGCTAGTCGATCAGCCCACGAAGCTGAAACGCAGGGATGGGCAGGACAGTGGTCGTCTGGATGTGGCCCTTTGTGCGCATGCACTGTCTGTTGATCGCGGGCCCGCCGGACGACGTCGGTTGGAAGGAGGGCCGAAAGGAGGGGAAGACGGACTTGAGGGTTCGCTAGGGTGTCGAGAGTCTGGACCAGTTAGTCGGCAAACAAGCCGTGGTGGGCAGACATCTACACACGTCAGGCAACTTCAAGTTTGCGTCGCCAGTGCGTCGGCCAGAGGCGCAGCGTAGACCGACGTGGAGGCAACTAGAATGCCAGCGAAGTCGGAAGAACCAGTGTGCTGATATAGCAGCTGACAGCGGGCGGGGTTACGCGATGTCATTGTGACGTGTCCGCGGCGCCGACCTGTGGGCAACGAGAGCGGCATCAGCAACTAGGCACGCAGGCAACGTGTCTGGCTGGGTCGACGTTGCCGGGTTAAGTACGTGGGGATCGCGTGGCGCGGAGGCAGCGAGCGGGCAGCGGGGAGGTGAGGGGTGGTCGTCAGTCGATGTGGCCACGCGTAACATCACAAGTCAGCGCGTGGCTGATGCACCGGCAACGGCGAGCGCGGCATTGAGCACGAGGGCGACGTCGTAGGTGGACAGCAGACAGCAGAGAGCAGATAGCGGTCGCTGGAGGTGCGCGGCGGGAGGGCAGCGAGGCCGCTGACAGGGCCGCGCCACGCGGTGACCGCGCTGTGAGACCGCGGCCGGAGCGCGACGGCGGCGGCGGCAGCGAGCGGGCGGACGGTGAGCAGAGTGGTTGACGTGGCAGCGGATAGAGCCACGCGCCCGTCACGCGGTGATCGCGCTGTGACGTCAGCGCCGAGGCCCGATGGGGAGCGCGCGACGGTGACGGTGATGGACGGTGACGGCGATGGACAGGCACACGGTCAGCGGCAAGCAGCACAGGAAGGCCGGGTCACGGGTCACGCCAAGTGACGCCGCCGCGCCGTTGATGGCAGCGGCAGGCCGCCCGGGCAGCACCGAGCTCAGGGAGAAGTCCAGTTGGGGGGTTTCTGGGAGAGTATTGTCAAAGAGTAAGAGAAATGATGAATTTTCATACCGAGGAGATGTCACGTTTGGGTCCGAACGACACATCTGATCTGTTGCTAGATTAGGGCAGGACAGGTGGCTACAAGGGCCATGCCGAACGAGTTCAGCTGGCCGTCACCCATCTTGGCAAGCAAGACCTCATCCTGGGGTATTCCTGGTTGCGGAAACATAACCCAGAGATCAATTGGGAAACCAAGGAGGTCAAGATGACACGGTGCCCCCGCAATTGCTCGACCTGCCGTGAGGAAGAGCGGGTCGAACGGACCGAGTTGCGGCGACTCCGGTCGCTTCAGAAGCGCCTCCGCTCCGGCCCGTTCCCCTCGGTCTGCGCCATGGACCTTTCTGGGTCTGATGACGGAGACGATTCCGTCTCCGGTGACGACTCCGGCCTGCCTGATCTGACGCCGGACTCCGACGACGACGATGACGATGGTCAGCTTGAAGATGGTGACCGCATCTTCTACACCTCGTTCCGCCCCTCGGAGGAGATACGCGCTGGCAGTACTGTCTCGCAACGCCTGGCCAAAGCCTTTGCCAGGAACTCCGCCCCTCCGCCCTCCGAGATCCCGGACTGGGCTAAGGAGTTCCAGGACGTCTTCAACAAGGAGTCCTTCGACACGCTACCGGAGCGGAGAGCCTGGGACCACGCCATTGAACTCGTCCCTGACGCTAAGCCCACCAACTGCAAGGTGTACCCCATCTCGCCCCTCGAGCAACGCGAGCTCGACACGTTCATCGAGGAAGGGCTTTCGACGGGCCGGATTCGCCCCTCCAAGTCTCCGATGGCGTCTCCGGTCTTCTTCGTCAAGAAGAAGGACGGCGGACTCCGCTTCGTCCAGGACTACCGTGCTCTCAACGCGATGACTGTCAAAAACCGGTACCCCCTTCTGCTGATCAACGACCTCATCAACCGGCTCAAAGGCGCTCGTTACTTCACCAAACTCGACGTCCGTTGGGGCTTCAACAACGTCCGGATCAAGGAAGGTGACGAGTGGAAAGCGGCTTTCCGGACTAACCGAGGCCTGTTCGAGCCCTTAGTGATGTATTTCGGCCTGACAAACTCTCCCGCGACGTTCCAAACGATGATGAATGACATTTTCCAGGATCTCATCCTCTCCGGAGACGTCATGATCTACCTTGACGACATCCTGATCGCCCATTCCGACCTCCGGAAACACCGACAGATTGTCCAGGAGGTCTTACGGCGACTCCGGGAGCACAAGTTGTACCTTCGAGTGGAGAAGTGCGACTTTGAAAAATCGTCAATCGAGTACCTCGGAGTCATCATCTCCCACAACCACGTCGAAATGGACGCCGTCAAGGTCGCAGGCGTCTCCGCTTGGCCGACTCCGGAAAACAAGAAGGACATTCAGCAGTTCCTTGGGTTCGCTAACTTCTACCGCAGGTTCATTCGGGACTTCTCGACCCTTGCGCGCCCTCTTTTCGTGCTCACCAAGAAGGACCAGCAATGGACTTGGGGCGACGCGGAGGCCTCCGCGTTCCAAGCGATCAAGGACGCGGTCACCTCGGAACTGGTCCTGGCGATTCCGGACGACACACGGCCTTTCCGACTCGAGGCGGACAGCTCTGATTATGCGACGGGGCGGTTCTTTCACAATCCGCCCCGGGGAAGTGGCACCCTGTAGCATTCTATTCCAAAAGCTTAAATGATGTCCAGCGCAACTACGAAATCCACGACAAGGAGATGCTCGCGATCATCCGCGCACTCGAGGAGTATAGACACTTCCTCGAGGGCGCCGCACACCCTGTCGAGATTTGGACTGACCATAAGAATTTGGAGTACTTCAGGAAGACGCAGCACCTCAACCGGAGACAGGCCCGGTGGTCTCTGTACCTCTCCCGGTTCGACTTCACGCTGCACCACAAGCCTGGCCGCGATATGGGTCGGCCTGACGCCCTCTCCCGGAGACCCGACCACGGAGTCGATTCTGACAACTCCGATGTCGTCCTTCTGCGGCCTGAACTCTTCCACGTCCGTGCACTCGAGGGCGTTTCCGTTTCCGGTCCCGGCTCTGAACTCCTCCGTGACATCCGTGATGCCCTCTCCGGTGAGCCTGACCTGAGAGGGCCCGTCGCACTAGCGGCCCGGCAACTTCTTAAGGTTCAAGGTCAAGCTCGAGGCCCCCGCTCCTCACGTTCTGACGAATGGGCCGTCTCCGGCGGTCTTCTCCATTTCCGAGGAAAGATCGTCGTACCAAAGGACAAGGACCTCCGGAGACGCATCATC